CAGTGGGGCTAGGCGAGCGCGGCGGGGCCAGGCGGGCGCGGTGGGGCCAGGCGGGCGTGGCAGGGCCAGGCGGGCGCGTCGAGGGCCAGGAGGGCGCTACGGGGGCCCGGAGGGCGCGTCGGGGGCCAGGAGGGCGCTACGGAGCCAAGAGGGCGCGACGGGGGGCCAGGAGGGCGCGACGGGGCCTGGAGGGCTCGACGGGGGCCAGGAGGGCGCGACGGGGCCTGGAGGGCGCGACGGGGGGCCAGGATGGCGCGACGGGGCCAGGAGGGTGCGACGGGGGGCCAGTAGGGCACTACAGGGCCATGAGGGCGCGACGAGGGCCAGGAGGGCGCGACGGGGCCTGGAGGGCGCGACGGGGGCCAGGAGGGCACGACGGGGCCAGGAGGGCGCTAAGGGGCGGGCGCTAAGGGGCGGGCGGGCGCTACAGGCCAAGCGGGCGCTAAGGGCCAGGCCGGGCTAGGTAGGTAAGAGGAGGCGAGAGGCTAGGGCGCGGGCGGAAGCTGGTGGGTGGACCTAACCTACTCGATACCATGTTAGAATATGAGAATGATTGTACTAGGAAGAGAAACCTAGAACATATACCTGTTGGGTTGTACTCACTAGAAGCACACACCTAGTCTAGCCTATAACTTCTACATAGAACATATGTATAAGTTGACACTAAGTCTCACTTGTACAAGATGCTTGAGTAGTGCAGCGGAAGTGTTGAGTAGTTGAACCCTTGCACTAGTATGTGAGAGCAAGTGATTGATTGAAAGAATCAAGCATACAGCAATATATAGAAAATAAGAAATGAAGCAGTTGTAGAATACAGTTGAAGAAAACAATTATCGAGTCGCACAGCGACTCGATTGTCTGTTCGGTTACCATCCTTGCAGTTGCAACGATCAATCGCAACCTCCGGTTGCGATCCTTCGAGTTCCTTCGTCCTTTCGTGTTCTTTCGTTCAACCTCCTCGTGTAACCTCCGTTGACTCGCGTACCCGATACCAGTGCCTATTTTATCAGAGTAATTTACTATGTTTCTCTGAAAATCAGAGTCGTTTTTCAAAACTACTCTAGGTGCCCTGTGTAAAAAAATTGAGGTTTTATTTTACTCTGATTATATCAGAGTAACCATTTGTACCCCTCTGAGGGTTAGTGTATAGGGGGTATACCTGTAGATTTCCCCCGTACCCTGTACCTGGCCTTGCCCCAATATCCCGCAATACGCGTCATTTTACGCGTACCGCCAGGTAGTGGCACGTCATATGCTGCCATCCTTGCCACTGCTGGCAGCATCCTCCGCGCTGATTAGTCACGACTGCAGCATCACTGCAAGGCTGGCAGCGGTTCCCTCACCACCGCACGCTGACCTTAGCCACCATCCATGCATGCACGACCGACCTCACTCCGTCACCCACTCCGAGGCGCCCCACAATTCACTCACCCCCAAGAAGAGCAGACGAAACCCTCGTCCTGTTCAACCTTCCCTTCCTCCCCTTCACCAAATCTCTCTCTCACAACGTCCTAGCAAAAGAAAACCTCTGCTTACCTTCGTCGTCGCTGCCGCCCGTCGTCACTCGTGCCACTGCCGTCATGGCTGGCACGAGTGAGCCCAACGATGGCGGTGGCGACGAGTCTGTCCTTCTGCGAACTCCTAGATCGCTCCCTCTTAGCAGGCTCGACTTTCTCCGTCGAGTTGCTACCGCTCCAATTGAGCCACAGCCTCTGTCTTCTCTCAGTAGTGAGGAATGGGACAGAAATTTAGAGGCTATGGTTGATGCTGAAGAACCTGTCGCCGAACCTTCAGTTGTACATGTTGTCTCTACATCAACTCCAACGTCCACATCAACAACATCAACTCCTGCCTCAACTCCTGCGTCTGCCTCGGAGAGGAAGCGTCGCTTCAACCAGACTTATCTCCCGTTCGCGCCGCCTCCCCCTAAGCCTCTGCCACCACCAGAGCCAGAGCCCGTGCCACAGCAATTTCCTTCGGCTGCTTTAACCCCCGCCGAGAAGATGGCGAAGGCCTATCTTGCCGCGCAACGGAAGTACACTGCCGACTGGCTACCGAAATTTCCCTGGCTAGTGCTGGATAAGACTAACGATGGTGCACCTTGCTTGCGTTGCTGTATCTGCATGGAGCACGGCAAAGACCACGCACGATACGAGCGCAACGGTGCTGGTGGACGAGATCTCCAGATTGGCTCGATGCGTTGGCATGAGGAGAGCACAAGGCACGAGAACGCCGTCAAGAAGCAAGAGGCGTTGCTGAAGGAGGTCAAGAATCAGGAGAAAATGGAGGACTTCGGGAAGCACGACCCTGACGGCGCGAGGATCATTCGTCTACTTCGAACTATGCTGTTCATATGCAAGGAGGATGCCCCGATCGCCATGCTCACGCGGCTCGTCGGGTTCATGGCAGAGGAGGGTGTCAACGACATTCCGAAGCAGACTTAGGGCGTCTACATCACGCAGTAAGTGCCGGGGTGGCTCATGATTTTCGGTACTCTTTCTTGGTGAAATTGCGACTGCTCCGCTGTCGTATCAATCATCGAGTTAATTCCGGCTTATCCATGCCCTTCCAAATGCAGATATGGCTTCAAGGAAATGGTGCGCGCAATGGTGGCGTACTTGAAAGCACAGCAGATGCAGCATATCCATGCATCACCCTTTATCGGATTGAGCTGCGACGAGTCAACTGACAGAACCCGTGGCAAACACCTCATCGTCTTCGCGACGTTCCTGAAGAAGCGGCGAGTCGTTACAGAGTTCCTGACGCTGCTTACTCTCGACAAGTGCGACGCAGCAGCTCTGCAGACGGCATTACTAGGGCACCTAGACTCTTGCGGCATCGAACTTCACAAGGTGGCGGGCATCAGCACGGATGGGGCGTCTGTCATGACAGGAGAGCACAACGGTCTGGTAGCGCGTCTTCGGGTGCGCATTCCGCATCTCGTTGGCTGCCACTATATTGCACATCGGTGAGTTCATGCAGGTCGAGCCACACTTGTCTTCCCCCTTGCAGCCCCGACGTTTTGAGTCCGTTTCCTCGCATGCAATGCATGTCGGACTATTTGTTATCCATGCTAATTGCCCGACCTTGCATGATTCTTCGTATCTCGCAGTGAAGCCGTTGCAGTGAAGGATGCGGCGAGCGCCTTCCCCGACCTCTGGATCATCGACATCGTCATCCGTGGCTTCGGCGAGATTGTTGGGCGTTCAACACCGTGGTACGAGAGGTTCAAGGAGCTCCAGCTGATCATCCACAACACGAACCTCGAGCACCAGGGGCTCTTCAACATCCGGTGGCTTTCGCGTGGAGATGCCGTAAAACGACTCTGCAGGATCCTCGGCGCTGTAATCACTGTGCTCATCGAGTACAACCACAAGCTGGTTCCAGTGGTCAAAACGCTGAAGTTCCACTTCTGTCTGTACTTTCTGGCTGACATCCTCGCTGAGCTCAACACGCTCAACAGGTTTTTCCAGAAGCGGTCTGTATGTTTTTATCCCATATCCCGTTGGTCTCTGTGTTTCATGTCGCTGGTGGCCTGTTGTCATGTGCTAGATTGTGGACTTTCTTCAATTTTGACAATAACTTATCTTCTTCGCATCTTGCCACTACTTTTATTACCCCGCCCTCACATCAGGTCGACATCACCCTTGTCTCGCAGGAGGTCGACCACACCGTCATGTACATCAAGCATCGCTACGTGGAGTATGGCGAGACCTTCGGCGCGGGGCTGAGCAAGCGGCTCAGCAAGTTTCTGCAGAGCTATGACAAGAATGGAGGCAAGGTGGTGGTGCACGGCGCGGATGACGACGGGCGCCCTGTTTCCCACAGTTTCAAGCTCGTGGAGAGCTCCCTGCCCGGTCACAAGTACGGTGGCACCAAGGCGGCTTGCATCACGCTGTGCACCGCCTTCGCTGAAGACACCGTGCAGAACCTGAACCAGAGGATGTAGGACCTGAAGCGGATGGTCGAAGCTGTACAAGGTTGACACATGGCCGAAGAAGCAGGAAGTGCGGGAACGAAGAGCGCGCACTTGGGTCAAGTCGAACCTGGAGCTGTTTGACAACAAGCTACCTGGTATGTATGTTTTCGATCCCTCCATGCACGTATCCCTAGCACTCACAATGTCGTCTCGCTATATGAAGATACAAGTATCCATGTTTTATAAAACGGTGGCAACACCACCATGGCTCTTAATCGATGTTTTCGCTTTTCATGTCTCGAATCCCGCCCGAGCGCTTCCACAGGAGTGGATGGTCGAGCAGCTGAGTTGGAGTTAAAGACTTTCTGTCACATCATGAAGACGCACCGTGCTGATGACGACTTCGGCCAAGGCCTCGCCAACATGCTGAAGACTAGGGATTGGGCCAAGAGCTATCCGAATCTGGCAAGCGATGGCGGTTCTGCCCTTGAGCACGGTCGAGTGCGAGCGCGATTTCAGCAGGCAGAACGCCGTCAAGAGCTGGCTGAGGACGAGCCTGTGTGATGCAAGACTCGGCAACCTGATGACCATTAGCCTCCTGGAGTACGACATGGACTACACTGAGATCGTGGAGATCTGGAGACGCCAGAAGAACCGCAGACAAGCAAAAGTAGTGGCTTATGAGAGGAGCAGCGATGCTGCCAAGGGCAAGGAGCATGATGAGTTCGATGAGTCAGAGGAGGACAGTAGCTCTTGTGAGAGTGCCTCAGAGGGAGACGAGGATGAGCATGGTGACTAATGTATGTATGTGTTTGAAATGAAGCGTACGTCTATCACAAACCTTTGTCGGGGTGAATTACAGCAGCACAGAGTTGTGGAAATTTCCCCTCTGCACTATCAGTGTAAATTTTTCAAAATGGAAAAAAACCCTGGCAAATCAGAGAAATTGTGAGGATGCACTCTGATTTTCTGAGTAATGCAAAATGCCACTCCCCAATATCAGAGTAGTAAAAATCCAAAAGTAGGCCCTGCCCGATACGACTTTCCTTGAGTGTAGTGTTACACTCCAGAAATGCTTAAGTCTTCGAGGTATTTCCAACAATAATAAGCTACATAGGTGCATGATCTTAGAGGGTACAACCAGTTGAACAAAATCAACCTGTATGCTTCATTCTAGTTACTATTTCTACTGTGAGACAACCTTCCAGCACCTTCACCCAATTTCGGTCAGCTGGACCTCATACTCTGCAGACTAATGACCACTTAACACTCTTGCAATGTGCACACTGCACAGTACACACTGTGCTTCTATTTTGAAAGCAGCCATAGCTGTGTGTGCCATGATCGTGAGTCTGTTCACACGCTGGTTAGTCACCAGGAGCACAGGCAGGGTAGCCCCCATACCGTCACAATCATAGCAGTTTCAAGTTCCACCCTTGTATCTGTTACAACCCTGCTTTCTGTTACAACTCTCCTGTGCCGAGGGGCTTTCTGGAGGTGTCCCCTGCAGCCCACGCCGCATAGTCCTTCTTGAGCTGCAGGGAGGGAGAGGGTGATGGCAGACACACGCCGAGAGCAGGGGAGGAGACACAGAGTGAGGAGGGGGGGGGCAAAGAATGAGGGGCTTTCTGGATGTGTCACCTGCAGCCGATGCTGCATGGTCTTTCCGAAGCTGCAGGGAGGGCGGGGTAGCGGCAGACAGACACCGCGAGGAGGGGAGGAGACAGAGGGTGGGGAGGGGGACAGAGACTGAGGGGGACAGAGACTGAGGGGGACAGAGACTGAGGGGGACAGAGACTGAGGGGGGGGGGGGACAGAGACTGAGGGGGACAGAGACTGAGGGGGACAGAGACTGAGGGGGACAGAGACTGAGGGGGACAGAGACTGAGGGGGACAGAGACTGAGGGGGACAGAGACTGAGGGGGACAGAGACTGAGGGGGACAGAGACTGAGGGGGACAGAGACTGAGGGGGACAGAGACTGAGGGGGACAGAGACTGAGGGGGACAGAGACTGAGGGGGACAGAGACTGAGGGGGACAGAGACTGAGGGGGACAGAGACTGAGGGGGACAGAGACTGAGGGGGACAGAGACTGAGGGGGACAGAGACTGAGGGGGACAGAGACTGAGGGGGACAGAGACTGAGGGGGACAGAGACTGAGGGGGACAGAGACTGAGGGGGACAGAGACTGAGGGGGACAGAGACTGAGGGGGACAGAGACTGAGGGGGACAGAGACTGAGGGGGACAGAGACTGAGGGGGACAGAGACTGAGGGGGACAGAGACTGAGGGGGACAGAGACTGAGGGGGACAGAGACTGAGGGGGACAGAGACTGAGGGGGACAGAGACTGAGGGGGACAGAGACTGAGGGGGACAGAGACTGAGGGGGACAGAGACTGAGGGGGACAGAGACTGAGGGGGACAGAGACTGAGGGGGACAGAGACTGAGGGGGACAGAGACTGAGGGGGACAGAGACTGAGGGGGACAGAGACTGAGGGGGACAGAGACTGAGGGGGACAGAGACTGAGGGGGACAGAGACTGAGGGGGACAGAGACTGAGGGGGACAGAGACTGAGGGGGACAGAGACTGAGGGGGACAGAGACTGAGGGGGACAGAGACTGAGGGGGACAGAGACTGAGGGGGACAGAGACTGAGGGGGACAGAGACTGAGGGGGACAGAGACTGAGGGGGACAGAGACTGAGGGGGACAGAGACTGAGGGGGACAGAGACTGAGGGGGACAGAGACTGAGGGGGACAGAGACTGAGGGGGACAGAGACTGAGGGGGACAGAGACTGAGGGGATTCTGAACGCGTCGCCTGCAGCCCACGCTGCAAAGTCCTTGTTGAGCTGCAGGGAGGGGGAGGGCGATGGCAGACAGAGAGGGGGAACTGGGAGGAACACACAGGCAACGGGGATTTAGGGCAGAAGGGGGATCAAGAGCAGAGGGGGGATAAACAGCAGAGATGGGACAAAGAGCAGAGAGGAGAAGAGAGGAGAAGCTCAACGCATTCTTGCTCTACAAGCACGGCACTAACCTGTCTGCAAAAGCACGGCACGGCGACTTTGAGATCTGCTCCAGCAGCTTGTTGCCATCATTCACAGATTCCCACGCGCTTCAGAACACATAAGATAAGGGCCTCACCTGGTCTAAGAAGCGCGCGCGGCATGACCACTTTGAGGATGTGCTCCAGCAGCTTGTTGCGGGCACTCACATGTGTTCGGGCAGCTCAAAACACCACGAGGGAGCTGAGCTGGTCGGCTGCACTCACATGTGCTCAGTGCATACTAGAGCAAGGAAGCTCTGGCACTCACCTGGTCTAAGAAGCGTGGAACAGCCACTTTGAGGATCTGCTCCAGCAGCTTGTTGCCGGCACTCTCAATGACGTCCCTTGGAATCACCCGGAAGGCTGTTGGCACCTCCACTGAGCTCTGCCGAGAGAAGGGGAAAAGAAGAGATTGAGTTAGTCCCCCAAGGTGCCCGTACAGTGGGGGCTCGTAGAATCATACGGAAAGCTGGCGGCACCTCCACTGAGCTGCCATGCAGTGAGGGAGTCGATGCAAGCTGCCATGCACTCAGGGAGTCGATGCAAGCTGCCATGCACTCAGGGAGTCGATGCAAGCTGCCATGCACTCAGGGAGTCGATGCAAGCTGCCATGCACTCAGGGAGTCGATGCAAGCTGCCATGCACTCAGGGAGTCGATGCAAGCTGCCATGCACTCAGGGAGTCGATGCAAGCTGCCATGCACTCAGGGAGTCGATGCAAGCTGCCATGCACTCAGGGAGTCGATGCAAGCTGCCATGCACTCAGGGAGTCGATGCAAGCTGCCATGCACTCAGGGAGTCGATGCAAGCTGCCATGCACTCAGGGAGTCGATGCAAGCTGCCATGCACTCAGGGAGTCGATGCAAGCTGCCATGCACTCAGGGAGTCGATGCAAGCTGCCATGCACTCAGGGAGTCGATGCAAGCTGCCATGCACTCAGGGAGTCGATGCAAGCTGCCATGCACTCAGGGAGTCGATGCAAGCTGCCATGCACTCAGGGAGTCGATGCAAGCTGCCATGCACTCAGGGAGTCGATGCAAGCTGCCATGCACTCAGGGAGTCGATGCAAGCTGCCATGCACTCAGGGAGTCGATGCAAGCTGCCATGCACTCAGGGAGTCGATGCAAGCTGCCATGCACTCAGGGAGTCGATGCAAGCTGCCATGCACTCAGGGAGTCGATGCAAGCTGCCATGCACTCAGGGAGTCGATGCAAGCTGCCATGCACTCAGGGAGTCGATGCAAGCTGCCATGCACTCAGGGAGTCGATGCAAGCTGCCATGCACTCAGGGAGTCGATGCAAGCTGCCATGCACTCAGGGAGTCGATGCAAGCTGCCATGCACTCAGGGAGTCGATGCAAGCTGCCATGCACTCAGGGAGTCGATGCAAGCTGCCATGCACTCAGGGAGTCGATGCAAGCTGCCATGCACTCAGGGAGTCGATGCAAGCTGCCCATGGCACTCAGCAGGGAGTCGATGCAAGCTGCCATGCACTCAGGGAGTCGATGCAAGCTGCCATGCACTCAGGGAGTCGATGCAAGCTGCCATGCACTCAGGGAGTCGATGCAAGCTGCCATGCACTCAGGGAGTCGATGCAAGCTGCCATGCACTCAGGGAGTCGATGCAAGCTGCCATGCACTCAGGGAGTCGATGCAAGCTGCCATGCACTCAGGGAGTCGATGCAAGCTGCCATGCACTCAGGGAGTCGATGCAAGCTGCCATGCACTCAGGGAGTCGATGCAAGCTGCCATGCACTCAGGGAGTCGATGCAAGCTGCCATGCACTCAGGGAGTCGATGCAAGCTGCCATGCACTCAGGGAGTCGATGCAAGCTGCCATGCACTCAGGGAGTCGATGCAAGCTGCCATGCACTCAGGGAGTCGATGCAAGCTGCCATGCACTCAGGGAGTCGATGCAAGCTGCCATGCACTCAGGGAGTCGATGCAAGCTGCCATGCACTCAGGGAGTCGATGCAAGCTGCCATGCACTCAGGGAGTCGATGCAAGCTGCCATGCACTCAGGGAGTCGATGCAAGCTGCCATGCACTCAGGGAGTCGATGCAAGCTGCCATGCACTCAGGGAGTCGATGCAAGCTGCCATGCACTCAGGGAGTCGATGCAAGCTGCCATGCACTCAGGGAGTCGATGCAAGCTGCCATGCACTCAGGGAGTCGATGCAAGCTGCCATGCACTCAGGGAGTCGATGCAAGCTGCCATGCACTCAGGGAGTCGATGCAAGCTGCCATGCACTCAGGGAGTCGATGCAAGCTGCCATGCACTCAGGGAGTCGATGCAAGCTGCCATGCACTCAGGGAGTCGATGCAAGCTGCCATGCACTCAGGGAGTCGATGCAAGCTGCCATGCACTCAGGGAGTCGATGCAAGCTGCCATGCACTCAGGGAGTCGATGCAAGCTGCCATGCACTCAGGGAGTCGATGCAAGCTGCCATGCACTCAGGGAGTCGATGCAAGCTGCCATGCACTCAGGGAGTCGATGCAAGCTGCCATGCACTCAGGGAGTCGATGCAAGCTGCCATGCACTCAGGGAGTCGATGCAAGCTGCCATGCACTCAGGGAGTCGATGCAAGCTGCCATGCACTCAGGGAGTCGATGCAAGCTGCCATGCACTCAGGGAGTCGATGCAAGCTGCCATGCACTCAGGGAGTCGATGCAAGCTGCCATGCACTCAGGGAGTCGATGCAAGCTGCCATGCACTCAGGGAGTCGATGCAAGCTGCCATGCACTCAGGGAGTCGATGCAAGCTGCCATGCACTCAGGGAGTCGATGCAAGCTGCCATGCACTCAGGGAGTCGATGCAAGCTGCCATGCACTCAGGGAGTCGATGCAAGCTGCCATGCACTCAGGGAGTCGATGCAAGCTGCCATGCACTCAGGGAGTCGATGCAAGCTGCCATGCACTCAGGGAGTCGATGCAAGCTGCCATGCACTCAGGGAGTCGATGCAAGCTGCCATGCACTCAGGGAGTCGATGCAAGCTGCCATGCACTCAGGGAGTCGATGCAAGCTGCCATGCACTCAGGGAGTCGATGCAAGCTGCCATGCACTCAGGGAGTCGATGCAAGCTGCCATGCACTCAGGGAGTCGATGCAAGCTGCCATGCACTCAGGGAGTCGATGCAAGCTGCCATGCACTCAGGGAGTCGATGCAAGCTGCCATGCACTCAGGGAGTCGATGCAAGCTGCCATGCACTCAGGGAGTCGATGCAAGCTGCCATGCACTCAGGGAGTCGATGCAAGCTGCCATGCACTCAGGGAGTCGATGCAAGCTGCCATGCACTCAGGGAGTCGATGCAAGCTGCCATGCACTCAGGGAGTCGATGCAAGCTGCCATGCACTCAGGGAGTCGATGCAAGCTGCCATGCACTCAGGGAGTCGATGCAAGCTGCCATGCACTCAGGGAGTCGATGCAAGCTGCCATGCACTCAGGGAGTCGATGCAAGCTGCCATGCACTCAGGGAGTCGATGCAAGCTGCCATGCACTCAGGGAGTCGATGCAAGCTGCCATGCACTCAGGGAGTCGATGCAAGCTGCCATGCACTCAGGGAGTCGATGCAAGCTGCCATGCACTCAGGGAGTCGATGCAAGCTGCCATGCACTCAGGGAGTCGATGCAAGCTGCCATGCACTCAGGGAGTCGATGCAAGCTGCCATGCACTCAGGGAGTCGATGCAAGCTGCCATGCACTCAGGGAGTCGATGCAAGCTGCCATGCACTCAGGGAGTCGATGCAAGCTGCCATGCACTCAGGGAGTCGATGCAAGCTGCCATGCACTCAGGGAGTCGATGCAAGCTGCCATGCACTCAGGGAGTCGATGCAAGCTGCCATGCACTCAGGGAGTCGATGCAAGCTGCCATGCACTCAGGGAGTCGATGCAAGCTGCCATGCACTCAGGGAGTCGATGCAAGCTGCCATGCACTCAGGGAGTCGATGCAAGCTGCCATGCACTCAGGGAGTCGATGCAAGCTGCCATGCACTCAGGGAGTCGATGCAAGCTGCCATGCACTCAGGGAGTCGATGCAAGCTGCCATGCACTCAGGGAGTCGATGCAAGCTGCCATGCACTCAGGGAGTCGATGCAAGCTGCCATGCACTCAGGGAGTCGATGCAAGCTGCCATGCACTCAGGGAGTCGATGCAAGCTGCCATGCACTCAGGGAGTCGATGCAAGCTGCCATGCACTCAGGGAGTCGATGCAAGCTGCCATGCACTCAGGGAGTCGATGCAAGCTGCCATGCACTCAGGGAGTCGATGCAAGCTGCCATGCACTCAGGGAGTCGATGCAAGCTGCCATGCACTCAGGGAGTCGATGCAAGCTGCCATGCACTCAGGGAGTCGATGCAAGCTGCCATGCACTCAGGGAGTCGATGCAAGCTGCCATGCACTCAGGGAGTCGATGCAAGCTGCCATGCACTCAGGGAGTCGATGCAAGCTGCCATGCACTCAGGGAGTCGATGCAAGCTGCCATGCACTCAGGGAGTCGATGCAAGCTGCCATGCACTCAGGGAGTCGATGCAAGCTGCCATGCACTCAGGGAGTCGATGCAAGCTGCCATGCACTCAGGGAGTCGATGCAAGCTGCCATGCACTCAGGGAGTCGATGCAAGCTGCCATGCACTCAGGGAGTCGATGCAAGCTGCCATGCACTCAGGGAGTCGATGCAAGCTGCCATGCACTCAGGGAGTCGATGCAAGCTGCCATGCACTCAGGGAGTCGATGCAAGCTGCCATGCACTCAGGGAGTCGATGCAAGCTGCCATGCACTCAGGGAGTCGATGCAAGCTGCCATGCACTCAGGGAGTCGATGCAAGCTGCCATGCACTCAGGGAGTCGATGCAAGCTGCCATGCACTCAGGGAGTCGATGCAAGCTGCCATGCACTCAGGGAGTCGATGCAAGCTGCCATGCACTCAGGGAGTCGATGCAAGCTGCCATGCACTCAGGGAGTCGATGCAAGCTGCCATGCACTCAGGGAGTCGATGCAAGCTGCCATGCACTCAGGGAGTCGATGCAAGCTGCCATGCACTCAGGGAGTCGATGCAAGCTGCCATGCACTCAGGGAGTCGATGCAAGCTGCCATGCACTCAGGGAGTCGATGCAAGCTGCCATGCACTCAGGGAGTCGATGCAAGCTGCCATGCACTCAGGGAGTCGATGCAAGCTGCCATGCACTCAGGGAGTCGATGCAAGCTGCCATGCACTCAGGGAGTCGATGCAAGCTGCCATGCACTCAGGGAGTCGATGCAAGCTGCCATGCACTCAGGGAGTCGATGCAAGCTGCCATGCACTCAGGGAGTCGATGCAAGCTGCCATGCACTCAGGGAGTCGATGCAAGCTGCCATGCACTCAGGGAGTCGATGCAAGCTGCCATGCACTCAGGGAG